AACAAATTATATATAATAAATAGTGCTGTCAAATGATTAATCATGATTAATCACATACAAAATCTAAGTTTTTGTTTGCATAATACATGTGTGTGTTCTGTGTATATTTATTATGTATATTTAAATACACACGCATACAGTATATATATTGAAAATATTTACAAGTATTTACATGTCTATATTTATATTCACATAATTTACATTATAAATAAATTCATTTAATATATAAACATAAAATTTTTCTGAAATATATACATGCATGTGTGTATTTATATATACATAATAAATATACACAGCACACATACATATATTATGTAAACAAAAACTTTTATTTTGCATGCGATTAATCGTTTGACAGCACTAATAATAAATAAATCTATTTAAAATCTAAAAGTTCATATAGTTCATATTAAAAATCTAGTATCAAATCTATTTTATAAATTCATAAATATTGAGTTTCCAGTTTACATATGCACTTAAAACTTTTGCATGTGTAACATTTTTTATGTTTTTGAAAGAAGTCTCTTATGTTCACCAATGCTACATTTATTTGACTAAAAATACAGTAAAAAACGATAATATTGTGAAATGTTATTACAATTTAACTTCTAATTATTACAATTTAATTTATAATTGCAATTTAAAAATAACAGTTCTCTGTTTGGAAGTCAAAGTTTGGAGTCAGTAAGATTTTTTTTTTGGCCACTGAAAATTTAGATTTTCCTACACATAAAATACATTTTAAAATATGTTTTAAAATGTATTTTATGTGTAGGAAAATCTAAACTTTCAGTGGCCCAAAAAAAATCTTACTGACTCCAAACTTTGGTTTTAGAAAACTGTCCCTGCAGAGCCCAACTGTTGAATTTGACACATCCGTCAAGAATATGGGCAGAAATACCCTCCGCTCTGCCGGAAACGCCAACACAGCTGTCTTTCTTCTGAATAGAGAGAACTAACAGGGTTATAAGTATGCTGCAGCTTTTCCTCGCCATTTTAGACCGAATCAATGATCAATATTCCCAAAGGAAATAATAACACTTAACTGTGAATACAGTAAAGATCAGGCATGCTGTGTACTGGTTTATAACGGCCAGTTGGATGTCTGTGGGTGGATAAATAAAATCTGCGTGTGCCATGAGCGTGGGAGGAAAGGACCGTACGATGCCAGCAGCGTTTTTTATAAGGGGGAAAATGAAGATCGGTGAGACCCTCTTAATGGTGTGCTTGAACGGGCCAGTCGGAGTTGCCATGACTCCTGTCTCTTGGGTTGCTATGACGGCAGCGTCTTCACATCAAGCCCAGATCCACCTAATCATAGGTTTAATAGATGTGTCCTCACAGACACGAAGCTCTTCCATTACCAAACACTCCTCCAACTGAACGATCATGCTCAGAGTTTATTTACATCAGTGTAGTCTTGACACCTTGTCCTTTCTACTGTAATTATATTAAAGGGGTCATATGATGCTATTTTAAAGATCATTATTTTGTGTATTTGGTGTAACAGAATATGTTGACATGCTTTAATGTTCAAAAAACACATTATTTTTCAAATACTGTACATTATTGTAGGTCCTCTATGCCCCGCCTCTCTCAAACGCTTCGTTTTCTACAAAGCCCCCTCCTTTGACAAGCGCAGTCCGCTCTGATTGGCCAGCTGACCCAGTGCACTGTGATTGGCCGAACACCACAAGCACCTGTCGGAAATGTAACGCCCCTTACCATAAACGCGAGCTTCATCTTTCAAAATAAATGTAAAGACAGAGCCCGAAAGGGGAACAGAGTCAAAACTTGAAATCGCATCATATGACCCCTTTAAAGTCCCCCTGCAGTCACTAAATGTATCCCTTAAAATGCATCTTTGACAATCAAAATGACATATTTAACTGTTTTTCCAGTGAAAATGACTTCTTGATGCTTTAAAATAGTTTGAATATGACTCTACACCCTTACCTCATTTAATATATGTGGATATGCAAATTAGGCCCCGGCTCCACTCAATTTCACCAGCCTGCACTACCTGCTCCACTTTTACTCAGTTAACTTAAAGGGATAGTTCACCCAAAAATGACAAATAAACCCTAAATTCAGTTTTATTTTTCTGGATTCCCTTTTTTCTGTTTTCATTTTTCTAGACTAGTTTTAATGATTCAATTCAATTTTATTCATCAAAACGCATGTCTAATTAACTGAAATCATGCTTACAATGTTAAATAGCAATTTACTAAACTTTTCACATAAGTTACATTTTTAAGGCCCTATAAAATGTTTTATTAGTTTTATTTTTAACAAATTCTGTTTTCTGGATTCGATTAATAGTTTCATTAAATATTAATAATTAAAAACATCTCTAATTAATTAATTTTATTTTAAAAAATCATTTATTATTATTTTATTTACTTATTTCCAGAAATACTTTGTGTATTTATATTTTTCTGCTAAATTCTGGTAAATATTATTTTAAAAATGTTTTAATAATCATTTGTATTATTAGTAGTAGTACTACCATTATATTAAGTTATATTTCTGTCACGATTTCTTCTAGTTAATCTGAACTTTTATTTTGACAGGTTGCCGTGAAGCCATTTATGACAATTTATGAAGACATTTATGATGAGTTTTTCTCAAAAGAAACTGTAAAATGCTCATGAAGTGACTCTCAGATCAGTTCTAGAGATTAAGTTTGTGTTCATGTATTTATATATTGAGGCAAAATTAATACTCGTGGCTCCTGAAGATATATTGAGGGCTTGTGAAGCAAAATGATCAAGAAACTGAGCATTATTTACTTTACAGTTCAATAGTGGTAGAGTGATATTTCTTCATTGATTTGTTTATTTTTTTTAATAATTTGATTAAATAAAAATAATAATGCATGAAAATATTAATAATAAAAAGTGCAATTTGTTCTGCCTGTTTTTAATGAAATAATGTACATACAGTTTCATGGCCGGTAAAAAAAAACAAAAAAAACATTATGGCCAGTAAATTTCCTTAAGTCAGCAGCCATTGGCAGGTATGAGACTAATCGTTAGTCTAACCGGGATTTGTCACAGCGCTTACATATTGTTGCTCTTTTGTTGATTTGATTGCTTCTATTGTCCTCATTTGTAAGTAGCTTTGGATAAAAGCGTCTGCTAAATGCTTAAATGTAAACGTAAAGCAAAATTTCAGTTTTAGGCCCTGTGTGTAAAGTATCACCATGATCATTAAGTAAACCTCTCAGACTTGCATTATGAAATTTGGACACAATCTATTCAAGGCCTGTCTTCCTCCAGTGCAATAATCCGACCTGGTTAATCCGACTCTCCCCTGGTCAGCACACAGAGATTAAATTACTGCAGTCAAAGCGACCGGGCGACCCACCGCAGCATGTATAAACACTGTGCATGCCTGTGAGGATGCACAACAAAAACATTGCATTGGTGCACCGTGTACTATACTGTATGTTACAGCAGATGACACATAGGTTCATCTTTATAGGTCCAGAAGGCATTTAATAAACTAACCAACAACCTGAGCGCAAATCACTTGTGTGGTGAATGAACACATGGTGATGCAAGTGGCTGCACACTGCAAAGCAGTACCGTTTGCCATCAAGCACACATGCATGACCACAACCGCTGCAAAAGCACTGCATGCGGGGTAACGGAAACTGCCATGTCCCTTCATGCATTAAACAAAAACCTAAGCATGAAATAACTCCACCCAAAACACCTTCAGGGCATCAAAAAAAACTGTTTTTGCGGTGCATTCTGACTCCCTGCTTTTAGAAATAGTGTGAATAGTGAATAATGATGAAACCACCATCAGAACATTATTGCTTCTCTTGTGTAGATACAACAAAACCTTTATGCTTGGAAAGAAGACCTGTTGGAAAATCCAGTTTAAGGTGGCTGGTTGGTCCAAAACAAATTTGACCCCCTTAAACTGGCATTTGTTGTTGGTAAAAGATGGTCAACAGAACAAGAGAATCTATTCAGGTTACAAAGGAGCATTTACACATAATACACACAATTATGGTAACTACACTGTAAAATGTTTTTAATTATTATAATACATATTTGTTTCAATTTAACTTGTCTCAATATTTTTTATTTATATTCAAATGTATGGGCTTCAAATCTATTTTCTTTATTCACAATTCAATTCAATTTTTTTTTTTACTTAGATTTTACTTTAAAAGGCAAGTACTGTTATTGTATTGTTATTAGCCACCACTGCCATCAAAATAAATAAATACATAAATAAACAAACAAACATACTGACTGTTTGAAAGTAGCCTAATCACAAACTATGTCTTATTATTGGTTGTGATCTTCTCACTATTGATGAGATCTATGTCTCACGTTTGCAGAAAAAAGGTTTAACAATTCTGAAAGACCCCTTACATCCAGCCAGACACCTCTTTACGCCTCTTCCTTCAGGCAGACGCCTTAGAGCAATTTAAAACTAAGTCTACACGTTTTCTGAAGGGTGCTCATTGTAGGATTGTTCATGCTCTTAATTCCTCTGGTCTCTATGCATCTGCATTTCACTCCTTATAATTGATAGGACATATATGTATAGTTGGATTTATCTGTGTGTGTGTATGTATGTATTTATGTAGCCTATGTATTTTAATGTTGATGACCTCGCCAAGCAAATTCCAAACAACTAGGGTGCTTGGCAATAAATAAATAAATTTGACAGAAGTCTCTGCTCAAACCAATAGCCTATCATAAACCAGTCTAAGACGATTTAGGCTATTGGTTTTAAGTGGTTTTTAATTGGCCAAATTGGTGTTCAACTGAGGGAAACCAGCCAATAAGTGTGCTAACACCTCTGTAAAACCAGCAAACCAGACCAACCTGGGAGACCAGCGTATCCATTTAAGTTGGTTTAAGATGTTTATTTCAGTAGCGGCAGTTAACTAGGTAACTAGGATGAAACTGACAAATTCTCGCCATTGTTTTAGGTTACAGCCGCGTGTCAAAGCCAAAACAAAAGTTACTCACGTCCCAAGCACCTCTTTGAATTCAAACATCTCCTTGATATCATCGACCTGCTTCTTCCACGAGCAATCCCCGCCGGCCTCTCCGTTCTCCCGAGCCATGGCGGGAAAAAAAATTTAACGGGGAGGACCGTAGATGGAGAAGTGAGCGCTGGAGATCTCTGGAGATTTTCCCCGCTTTCCCACGCTGCACTTCCTGCTCTCTGCTTCTCCTTCTTCCCTCGCCTTCCCCGGTTGTACCGTTACCGAATAACCCCGGTGAGGATCTCCCTCAAGCAGCTTAAACAGTTTGACGTAAATAGTTCGGAGAGGCGCGTGCGTGCGTGTGTCACCTTTGCGGAGTCTTAATGGCACCGGTACGGGTTTATTCCGCCCCGCGCGGCTGCTGAACGTTGATCCCGCGCGGACTGATGCGCTGCATCCGTTGTTATGGCAATGAGGAGAGAGAGTGAGTGAATGAGGAGGAGGAGGAAGATACTCTGCTCCTCACCGCGCGACCTGACAAAGAGCAAATGCATGAGAAATATGGCAAGCCGTTTTAACATTTAACTAACACGCATCCGTTTTTTTACGGGCACTTACTAGTATTTTTAATAAATACATTTAACATAATTACAAACTTTGCTACCAGCCACTTTCCCAGTTGTGATAAGTGAATATGTACCTGTTACTGGAAATAAATTCCAAACAGTATTCCAATTGCTACTGGTACCTATTGCAGTTATACTAGTACTGATTCTTTAAAGGGATAGTTCACCCAAAAATAAAAATTCTGTCATTAATTACTCACCCTCATGTCGTTCCAAACCCGTAAAACCTTTGTTCATCTTCGGAACACAAATTAAGATATTTTTGATGAAATCCGAGAGCTCTCTGACCCTGCATAGGCAGCAATTTAACTGCAATGTCCCCAGGCTCAGAAACCTAGTAAGGACATCGACAAAACAGTCCACGTGACATCAGTGGTTAACTGACCATTTCTTAGTTATCAGTATTCTGTAAGTGACAAGTGACTACGTGGGGGAAAAAAGTGTATTGTGGAAAGAGCCAAAAAATAAAATTGACTTTGTTAAATTGAGTTTAATAGAGACTAGTCACTATTGAAATAAGTACTAGTATCTAAGGAATAGTTAATGAAACAGAAAAATATAGTAGTGGATTGTTTTCTAGTATTTAAAAAAACGGAGTGTCTATTTACACTAAGTGCAAATAGCCCACCTCGTTGAGCATCTATCGCTATTTACACTTAGTGCAAATAGCCGCTGCCTTAAAAATATGTTCTAGTAACAACAAATAAATGTTAAAATGGCTTGCCATATAAGAGCGTAGAGGAAAGGAGGAGAGACCGTGTGGCTGTGTGAATTGTTCGCATTGCACCAAAAGCATGCTCAGGCCCAACTGAAAAAGACATGTATCTGTTCAGAACAATTTTTTAAATAAAGTCTAAATTCTCAGGGTACCCTGTAGGAAATGAAACAGTGGTCATTTCAATATAGATGCATTATGGAACACGGAAGAAGAAGATATTAATCATTGTTAATAGTTACTGCATTTTAAAGCAACAAAGTCAGTCAAAATAGTTTAGGCAAAATCAAGGTAAAATAACACTTTGGCTACATCTGGTGGTACCTATTAGCAGGCTAATGATGATAGTAGCGCACAAACCAGCTTTAGAGTTCTAAAAGTGTCTGTGTTTATCGATAAAGTGCACTTAAAATAAATGTATTGCAATTAAACACATCAAGACTCAAATAATACAAATTAACACAATTATACAGTCAAAATAACAACATTTACCTTGAGGTGAGCATGTGACGTGAAGATAAAGGTGGTGACTGAAGTATTTACAGAGACAACCTTTGCAATTTTTTTCCAAAAATTAGGCCCATTCACCTAATGTCCCTTAAATATCTTCATCCCACATAAAACAGCAACATTTAAGGGTTAAAAAGCATGTTTGAGAGCAGGTTTTAATAGTAGGACCAAAGCTTGCTTGACATGTGCCTGATGTGGATGTCAGATTGGCTGCAGGCCATTCACATTTATCAATACAGTCAGCAGCGAGGACAAAATGTGTGTGTGTGTGTGTGTG